AGGTCTTTTTTAAACACTGTTCGGCGGCCATTTTGAGATTATTCGGAGGTGGTGTATTGCTCGAAGGTGTTTGGGTGATGCTTGGTGGTTTGGGTCAGCTGACAGATGCTGGGGGTGAGTGTCTGTAGTCTGTTTTAATTCAGCACACAGCACGGAGCAACTGGGCAAATACGCAGAATAAGGCCACTGTAGGAGACCTTGACAAACCAGTGACTTTGACTGGGTTTGTCAGAGAGGTCCCGAGAGGAGGACAAGATGCACTCGCTCCAAGCTGAAAATAGAGAGTCCTTACTGTGACTATACCTGATAAGTTCTGATTTGACATGATAGGTCAAAACTACTCAGTGAATCTCCATGAACACATTTGTGTACAAAACTTTTAATATGTATAGGCTATTTAAAGATCTTATATTAAACACAATTGTCTTTTGTGAGCTTTTAGCCATGTTAGAATGTTGCTACCTCTTCAAAAACATACCTGGAGTTGTGTTTTGTTTCAGTCACACATGTTCAAAAGCTCAAAATGCTCTGTTCCACCTTGTGATGTCATGTGATAGCAGATTTATTTCATATTATCATCTACATTTTATCTTTTGTTCAGTAGAAATGGGTGATTTTTACCAACAGATTAATTGACAGGTTAATTGGGAGGGGGTGTATACCTTCAACAGCCCCACTCTGGATTGGCTCAGGTTTCCAAATATGGTCCCTGGTTGCAGATTAGCTGCTGTAACTGCTAGCCTCGCTGAGTTTCATTTGGATGCAACTGAACGCTATGGGTGACCTCACACTCCCTTAGTCCACTTATTTATAGAGTCTATGTTCTTACTGCACATTCAAGTTGGTCAATCAAATGAAGGTAGGTGTGAAAAATGTGTAAAGGAACTTTTTTCTATTATCTTTTGTAAATGTACCGCATGCCAACAATTATTTGCTTTTTATTTTCCTCCCTGATCCTTTATTTGAACAGTTCAGAAAGACTTGAGAATGTCCATTCAGAAGTTATTTACCGTGACCTTAGTTTAAAAACCTTGTCCTTTCCAAGCGCTACTTTTTATTATATCCTATACCTGCAATTTGTAATTTCTAATATGATGATCCAAGCGTGGGAGCCTTTAACCCATTATCCCCATTATCTTCTATCTTTTTTTTTTTTTTTTTCCTATTTGGACATTTGTTTTAACATAATACCAAGCTTCATTAAGAAATTAGGAGAAAGATGAGGGAAACAACTTGTCTCCATGGTGATGTCATTGTTTTGCGAGGAGGTGCCTCCGCTCTATTTCATTTCTCTCCAGTGATTAGGTCAGGAATCGGAATACACTAGACGGTTTGCAAAAATCCCTGAAAGTTGTAGACCTCGCACTAGCCTAGCCCTAGTCTAGAGAAAAGCTGTGAAGCCATGACATCAAACTCAAGCGCCTGTCTGGGTAACTTTTGGGGTCAACAGCGGTCGAGATTGCTGTAGACAAAGCCATACATTCTGTGTTGGCAATGATTCGTGAGATCAGGGATTTAAAGCTGAGAATGTTTGGTGAATTTTATCAAGGGGAAAGATGTCATTGCCCTTTTTCCTACGGGTTTTGGCACATTACTTACATCACGACCAAATAGCAGTGACTGGTTGAATATAAAAAGTACCCACCGATCTTCAAGTGAACAAATCCTAATACTGCGAGTTCATGAATCAGGCTGCCACAGTATGGCATTAAACTTATTTTGCCTTCATCTAATTCAATGTTATTTATTTCTAGAAAACAAAAACAACAACAACAACAACACCTTGAAAACATGCTAACTGTGAGTGGGCTTGCCTCTCCACAGATTTGACCTGTAACTCAGGCTGAGAGCTTTGATAGCCATTCCAGTCAACAATATCTCCATGGGAACAAGTGGATGGCCCTCCCTCATAAGTTTCCAAGTACACCTTTAGTTTAGTTAATATTGTGTACTTTTTTCAAATTTGAACAATGCGGTGTGGTCACGAGGAGGAGAAGGACCAATATTTCAGGTAATAGATGAACTGTCGAGTTTCTGACAAGACCCACTATATAAACTTTGAGCACAGCGTCTGCGGGAGACATCAATACTTGTAAATATTTAATTCAGCGCCTCCGACAATGCACGCCGCTGAAACAAATCTTTAGCAGATTGGATTCAGGATAAATAGCACAAAGACATCACCAACCATACTTCACCACATCATTTTGTCAGTGCGGCCTCATCTCCGTGTGTGAGTTTGTGAGTTCGTGTGGGATCGAGAAGGACCGCTGGATACCTACCTGAATATGTGATTTGATTTGAAGCATTTAAATGAAAATATCTTTATTAAAACAAGCGTCAGTGTAGAGTGAAACGGTGTTGTGGCAGCCCCTGAAAATTATCTTGTGTTGTTGTAGCTGTAACTTAATGCAAAATTCTGACCTTTTTTCCTAAGACGTCTGACTAAACTCTCTCAAGTCAAACTGAATCTGTATCTGCACCATATGGAGCACAAACAAATATCTGGACTCTTTGTGAAGCTGAGGCTCTGTAGTTTTGGCCTCTGCTGTTTGATCTACTTTAATTTTAAATGGGAACAAGCTCTACACAGAGGAAAGTCAGATTTCAAACTGCACCTGAATTACTTGGGGTAAATATAAGAATAGGTGTAGCTGGTGTCCCTGAGGATGGTCTGAGACAGCAGACTGAGCATTTGTTGGGTTTTGACAATTCCCATGGGAAGCTCTCACTAAACATGAGATTTAGGGACTTCCAATTAGGCAAAAAAGAATTAATATAAAAGTCCAATTAAATCTTTATGATCAGAAGCTGGAAAACAGAAATTAATTAAGCAAAAGTAAGAGGATCCATGGATGGTCCCTCAGAATTGTAAGGGGCTTAAGGAATTTTATTTACTGTTTTAAGACAAATTTTTTTAACAGTTTATTTCTTTATTTATTTAATGATCTCTGTGCTGCACTTTGGGAACTGCTTTCTTTGTAAAATGTGCTATAAAAGATTGATTTATTTCTAAGGGGGAAAAAATGCATTTCAAATTTTAATAACATGACCTGTTAATTGGAGTTTTAGTGTTGGGGTGAAAGATTATTTTATAACATTCATCTTATCTTCAATTATAAGACTTAGCTTCTTATTTTCTTTTAATCAGGCAAGTTGAGAGATTATTTACCTTGACATGTTTCGGCTGCTAACAGCTCCATTCTCAGAACTGTCACAGACAGTCTGTCTGTCACAGTGTTCAGGGTTGAGGAGTGTCAAACTTCTCAAATTATGCTAATGAACTGGAACAAATGGGTTCTTCACATTTAAAAACTGTTTTAAAGCTACCATCTCTAAGTTCATTATACATTTTTCCACCGGTACATGGCAGATGTGAAACCTGTCCCCCATTCCTCCTCCCACCTGTGCTCTCTGCTCTCCTCTACAACAGTAACATAGACAGCATCTAGTGGTGATTTGTGAGAATGCAACAGGGGCGGGTCAGTCAAACTAATTACAAATGGTAGCTTTAATATTTGCCTAATATCAAGATTAAAAAAAAAAAAAAATCTAAAATTATTTTCCATCTTCACAGACTGAAGCCTAATAAACTGATATGAGACCTTAACTTTCTGTTCACCACCAAGTTAATTAGTCATTTACACAATAATTTTCTACAATAAAAAAAAAACATGAACAGATAAATCATGCATCATACCTGTAAAGTCAATAAAAACACACCTTATTTTTTAAACTTTTATTCACTTAAATTCTCAAGTGTTAAAGCAAGAACAAAACATTGATAATGTCCTTTGGTGGGATTTTATTACACTTTATTAATACTGTATATGTAAACCGATATTCTTTGATGCCAGCACGTTGCCAATACAAAGGAAAATCAAATGCACAACAAAAAGTGAAAGTAACAAAAACAAAAAATCTGAGAAATTTCACTGAAAATGAGGGGAAATATTTTGGTTGTTTGATACATTTAAGGTGGCCCTGTTCTGTCACAGCTAGGCAAAGATACAAAAGGACTACATGACGATTTGGTTGAACTTGCAAATACAATGAAGATTTTCTAAGCAGTTCTCATCAGATCAAAAGTATCGCTGGACCATGACTGCAGGAAGGTGTGGCAAAATGACTGTACGAAAGAAAATAATTGATCAACTGATTTTGTTAATGTGGGCTTCTTACATTTGTGCGTCGTCATCACTAACATCGGACAAAATCACCTTTCAACCAGCGAGGATCGTACAGGTTTTCACGAAAGCACAGGTCGGTGGCAGCATGGCAGGAAAGAGGAGGAAGAGGAGGTGAGGAGAGGAAAGAGGAGAGGAAGAACAGAATATAGAAGGGTAGTGACAGATAGACAGAAAGATATAAACAAGATGGGTTTGTCAAAATGGCACAGTCCGGTACAGATTCCCTTCTATCTACAAAGCACTGACAGCAAAGAATTCTTCCAGTGTGTAGCTCCTCTTTTCGCGTTTTTTTCGGCGATTTCGTTTTAGCTTTGTGTAGCGTTCAGCCGGGACACTTTGGAAAGTCCAGCCAACACTAGAGTAACTCATGGAGAGAGGGGTCCCACGGGAGGCCACCGTCGAGAAGAAGAGGAGCTGTTTGCTGATTGGTCGCAGCTGTTGTTGCCGTGGCGATAAGAGAGGACGTGAGGAAGTCTGTCATCTTGGGTTTGTCCCGTCTGGAAGGAGCTCAAGTACCTGGTATGGCTTTGTGGGGAGGGGAGATGTCTTTCAGTCGTCTGTTCCTTGCTCATTTTTACTCTTTTTTTAAATAACATCTGGCATTTTTAAAGTTTTTTATTTTTTTTCATATATATTCTTTAAAGTTAAATGAAAAGTTTTTGCACTCTGGCACATTCCCGGTATCGCAAGTGTCCACTGGGGGCAGCGAAGCTCATTCAAGTCCCGAAAAGCTCATGATTGTTCTTTGTAAATGGTTGATTATTTGGAGGTGGATGAGCAAGTGTGTAGTGTTGGGGCCGTGGGGCGTCTTTAGACTGGCCAGCAGGGGGCGTCTCTCAGCAGCGACCAGCCCGACAGCAGCAGCAGGAGGAGGAGCAGGGTTTTGGAGGAGGGGTCAAAGGTCAGAGGGGCGTGTCCAGAGTTGGGCCCCTGACAGCCGCCCAGTTCGTTCTCACAGCGCGCTTTCTCACACAGGACCCCGGTGAACGCCGCCGGACAGTTACAGCGCACGTTGTTGACGCACACTCCTCCATTTTGACAGCGCAGGAGTTCGTTGTCACAAACACGGGCTGAGGGAGACAAAGAAACATGAGTTAGGGTAGGACATGTTGGATTTTTGTTTCAAACTAGAAATTACTTAAAAGTAGCCCTGTTAGAAAGTACTTTTAAGTAATTTCAAAAACTGTTACTTAATGCCAAAGTGAACATGGATAGTATAGTACGATCATTTCAGGCCAAATCCTAATTTCAAACAATAAATAATGAGCTAAAAATATTGCAAAAAATACATCTAAAAAAATTACTGTGTCTATTTATGATGCTTTTGATTTTTGACAACTGAGCTCAATTTTCCATTCATTTTTCCCACAGACTCCCATAGATACAACCATAACTTGATTGTTTTAAGTCCAAAAAGCACATTTAAAACACAAGATTACGCTTAATAAATTAATGTTTTATAATGTTTCAGGAACAAGTTTAAAAAAAAAAAAACTTTTAATATACTTTTTTTTTTTCAGACAGGCTATTGAAAAAAAAGAATGAGGAATCTGGTTCCGAATGGACTTATAAAACTTAACCTGGAAGTGAATTTGACATGTTCCAAAAAATCTATATGGTGCTATAATTTTTTCCTTTTACAAATGATAAACATTGGTTGGTTGGAGGTTGTATCGAAGAAGCTATAACAGAAGTCGGCATCTGTAAAAGTTACCTCCACCCACATAATTATTTATATCTCTAAAGGTAAAGAAGGTTCTGTCAACTGGAAAACATCCTTGGCGAGTGGCAGAACACATTCACTTAAAAAAACACATTCAGTCTTTTGCTATGACCCCAATTGGACAACTGAGGGATTACTTAAACATCTTTATATCCCCAACTTATTTCTATTACTAATTGAGTTGTTATTTTCTCTTCAATTTCTTTTAAAAACCTCATCCAATAAAGCACTTCCAAACACTGTCTGCACGCAAAGCCCACCATCTGTGAGGCATTCCCCCAAAACAGCAGTGACTTTGGGCCCGCAGAACGTCAGGTGAAAATTGGTGTGTATATTTAGAAGCAGGAATGCCGAGGCCACACTATTCCCAAAGGAGCCAGGCTGTCAAGCAAGCTGCAGGCAAACAACGGCAGCAGCGTCCACCAGCTAATAATGCCACACGCACCGATAAACACTGATGAACACACAGAAGGTACTTTAGTGCTTTATAGTGGAGTCCACCGCAGCCAGGAACGCACTGGGGCAAATAACACACAAGCAAATACAAGGACTAATACTAATACTCAGAGATGGAGAGGGGGCAGAAAAGCAGGAGAGTGACAAAGAAAGGTAAGTAGTATAATAATAGTAGTAGTAGTAGTAGTAGTAGTAGCAGTAGCAGTAAAAACTGAAATAGTCACTGTTGTTACAAATTAGTAATATTTGTTTGTGATACAATGTTTACAATAATTAAACTAAAGTGTAGCAGTGATAAATTAATTTAGTTGTTGCAGCAGCTGTAGTAGTAGTAGTAGTAGTAGTAGTATTTTTATTTATTTATTTCATAGAGACAGTGCATATTCAGTACATGAACATCTGTAATTACAGAGTAAATATGCCAGATTATTGCAAAATGGTTGTATTAGTAATAGGAACAGTAGTAGTAGTAATAGTAGTAGTAATAGTAGTAGTAGTAGTAGTAGTAGTAGTAGTAGTAGTAGTAGTAGTAGTAGTAGTAGTAGTAGTAGTAGTAGTAGTAGTAGTAGTAGTAAGTAGGCCTAGTAGTAGTAGTAGTAGTAGTAGTAGTAGTAGTAGTAGTAGTAGTAGTAGTAGTAGTAGTAGTAGTAGTAGTAGTAGTAGTAGTAGTAGTAGTAGTAGTAGTAGTAGTAGTAGTAGTAGTAGTAGTAGTAGTAGTAGTAGTAGTAGTAGTAGTAGTAGTAGTAGTAGTAGTAGTAGTAGTAGTAGTAGTAGTAGTAGTAGTAGTAGTAGTAGTAGTAGTAGTAGTAGTAGTAGTAGTAGTAATAGTAGTAGTAGTAGTAGTAGTAGTAGTAGTAAAAGTTAAATTAATAGTAGTAGTAGTAATAGTTGTAGTAATAGTAGTAGTAATAGTAGTAATAGGCCTAGTAGTTGTCGTTGTTACAAATTAATATTTGGTTGTTTGATACAATATTTAAATATATTTTAAAAATAGTTAAACAATATTGCAGTAAAAATATAGTGTTAGGCCCAAGAAGTGAATTTAGTTGCTGCAGTAGCTGTAGCAGCATTAGTAATAGTAGTAGCACCAATAGTAGTATTAGTAGTAGGAGGAGATAGCTATAAGATTAATATATCCAAACTTTAAATATGAGAGCAGTGGTAGCCCTATTATGAGTAATTTTATTATCTTAGTAGTGGTAGACAGTATGTGGCATCATGCTCAGTGTAGTAAAAGTAGTACTAGTAGTTATAGGATATAGGATTAGTTCAAGAGTGTTGGTTCATTAGTTTGAAGGTTGGTGGTCCAATCCCAGCTCTGATCGGTGCACACTGTTGTCTTTGGTCAAAACACTGTCACATGCCTCGAGTTAGAATCTATAAGGTGTGAGTGAATGTGAGGAGAGCGGATGTGATTCGGTTCAGCCCGTGCGCCGAGAACAATCCATCAAGTCATTACTGAAAATATCACAACAAATGTAACGGCTCCTTGTGGATACTGGGAGGGAGAGAGATTGGACTCAGTCAAATACAGGCCTTGACAGGAGCCTCATTAAGAAACACTGAATTCTGTTTGAGAGGATATGCTGCTGTTTTGGCACGGCGCCATCTGCTGGAGGCCACAGCTCCACCAATTACCAAAGTACAAACTGATCCATCTGAACTATGTCTGAGGATTTTACCAGTGACAGTGCTTTTGATTCAGAGCCCTACAGGAGCTGAGTCGATAAACTGAAGAGCAAAGATGTACCACAGAAAGACGATTTGTTTAATTGTTTTCTTTATTAAAGCTGGCAAAGATTCAGCGTGTAAAATGTTATAAGATGTAGTGGAGTTTTTAATGCGTCACGGACAGATCTGAACCACTTTAAAGGGCCATATCACATTATTTTCTGATGTTATAATGTTATTTCCTCATCTGAAGTTGTGTTTTGCTTTGTTTATGTTAGGATGAGTTCTGATGTCATGTGGTAATACGGGAAGTGCTCTACATTGTTTTTAAACTCCATACACCTTCACTAGAATCATTTTGATGATTTCTGCCCCGGAATTACCAATATCTAACCAAGATGTAAAACGTAGCAGTTAACTTTAAAACTATCGCCTCATGATATCACAAGATGATTTAGAGTTTTAGAGAGAGATGTAAACAGACTGATAATAAATGATTAATCAAACATGCGTGAATGAAGCAAAACACAACTCCAGGTACGTTTTTGAGAAGGTAACAACATTTTAACACGGCTGAAAGCTCACAAGAATCCATTTAGCCTAATATTGGACCTTTAAATAAGCTTCCAGCAGGAGCAAATTGTTGAACAAGAAAATCAATGTAAAGTGCTTTATTTGTCACTTACTAGATAACGCCTTGCCTAGTGGATCAGAAGGAGGATTAGACTGTAGAGATGTTATTGCTTTGCCTGGAACATCCCACAGTATGGCATTAAATGTATATTTCTTGCATTTATTGAATAACAGTTGTTTTCATTGCTCAAAAATAGACTGAAAAACATACATTCTTACTTCACAGATCTGACCTAGAACTTGGCCAGGTGTCGTTCCCTCCTTGTCTCCATTAAATTAGTTTTGAAGGGCCCATCTCATGCAAAATCAACTTTTCAGAGCTTTCTACCTTCTAAGAGTGATGTGTGGGCCTTGTATATGTCGCCTAAGTGTTTTTTAGATTGATTCTGCGTTTTTTTTTTAACAAATTGAATATTTCTGCCACCCTCTCACGTGACAACGAACTAAATCTGCTACAACGATGACGCGGCCAGCTACACCTATGATGCGTTTGACGTAGCAGAAAGCTCTTTGCACAGTGTGTTGTTCTACACTGCAGTGTACATGATATAATAAGTTAATCTACTAGCATTTATTAATACTTTACCAATCAGTAATGTTCAGCTGATGTCGACCTCAAAGTCCTCTTCTGTTTCTGGGTCCAACACATGCGGCTGAACACGCTGTATCGCCATGATGAATAAAAGTTTATTACTACCGCTATCAGGGTGCACGTCTGTCTCCCCCTCCCTCCCTGAGATGGGGGGAGGAAGGGCGGCTCACTCAGAGCTTACGTCACATTTGGAGGGCGGAGCCTGTGCTTTCTCAGGACGGGCGGGGGGATGAGCAATATCCCGTCTTTCATAGTACCTGGTCTGGGACTGCCTCAAAGAAATCAGTAAGATTTCATAACTATTGTGTAATGAATCTTCCAAAACCCAAATTGTGCTTGTATATGTGCATAAGATACAATGTGAAAAGATTTTTACATGAGATGGGCCCTTTAATGCCATACTGTGGAACTTTGAAACAAGCAGGTAGCAGAGCCTCCACCAGAAATGTTACACAGTGCACCTTTAACTTGTGCGACAATGGTGTGGGAATTAATATAGCAATATCAACAGTGAATATGAGATTAGTTTTGTAGCACATAAGACTATGCTATTGTCCTATCTGAAAGACATTCATATGTGTTTGTGTGCTGAGGAGAGGAGGAAAAGAGGAGAGGACGAGAGGGAAGAGGGGGAAAGGAGTAGGACAGCTGGTGCAGGTGAGGCTGCTCTGCTGTCAGACGGAGTCACGGGTCAAGTCACAGGGCTCAGGGACATGTTCTGCCTCTATCCTCCTTCAAACCCTCACTCTTTTTCCACTGTATTTTTGAAACGTTTAATAGTTTCATCAAAATAAATTAGTGAGGATTAGACACAAAATCAGACACGTTTAGTTGTATTTTTATTGATATTTTGGTTTAGTATGTCCAATCTGGTCTCGTATATTCACTCTCATAACTACCTTTTTATGCCTGCTGGTTTTCATGGTTCATTTATCCAGGCTTCGAACCAAAAAAGGTCACTGAATTATAGCTACTCTGCAACCCAACAGAACAGA